TTTTAGCATGCATACATACTATTACTATATATGCAGTAAATATTTGTGAACGAATGAACGAGATAAGAAAATACAGTACCTTAGCAGTACAGTTCAATCACTTAGTCATGTCTGACTCGGTGACCCCATGGACTGCCCCACACCAGGCTTCCCTGTCCATCACCAACTCCCAGAGCTTTCGCAAACTCATGTCCATCTAGTCGGTGATGCCATACAACCATCTCATCCTCTGTCATCCCCTTCTTTTCCTGCCTTCAATCTTTCCCAGCATCAGGGTCTTTTCAAATGAGTCAGTTCTTCGTGTCAGGTGGCCAATGTATTGTAGTTTCAGCTTCAGCATTAGTCCTTCCAATATTCAGGACTGATTTCCTTTAGGATGGACTGGTTTGATCTCCTTGCAGTTGAAGGGATTCTCAAGAGTCTTCTCCAACACCACAGTTCAAAAGCATCAATTCTTCAGCACTCAGCTCTCTTTATAGTCCAACTCTCACATCCATACATGACTACTGGAAAAACCATAGTTTTGACTCTATGGACCTTTGTCCACAAAGTAATGTCTCTGCTTTTTAATATGCTGTCTAGGTTGGTCATAGCTTTTCTTCCAAGGAGCAAGCGTCTATTAATTTCATGGCTGTAGTCACCATCTGCAGTGATTTTGGAGCCCAAGGAAATAAAGTCTGTCAGTGTTTCCATTGTTTCCCCATTTATTTGCCATGAAGTGATGAGACTGGGTGCCATGATCTTCATTTTTTGAGTGTTGAGTTTTAAGCCAGCTTTTTCACTCTCCTCTTTCACTTTCATCAAGAGGCTCTTTAATTCGTCTTCGCTTTCTGCCATAAGGGTGGTGTCATCTGCATATCTGAGGTTATTGATATTTCTCCCAGCAATCCTGATTTCAGCTTGTGCTTCATCCAGCCTGGCATTTCGCATGATGTACTCTGGATGTAAGTTAAGTAAGCCGGGTGACAGTATACAGCCTTGACATATTCCTTTCCCAGTTTGGAACCAGCCTGTTGTTTCATGTCCAGTTCTAACTGTTGCTTCCTGACCTGCATACAGATTTCTCAGGAGGCAGGTAAGGTGGTCTGGTATTCCCATCTAAGATTTTTTTGTTTTCTTTTAAGTATTTTTGTCAGATTATTGTGATCCACACAGTCAAAGGCTTTGGCCTAGTCAATAAGGAAGAAGTAGTTGTTTTTCTGGAACTTTCTTGCTTTTTCATGATCTAGCAGATGTTGGCAATTTGATCTCTGGTTCCTCTGCCTTTTCTAAATAGCGCTTGAACATCTGGAAGTTCAGGGCTCATGTACTGTTCAAGCCTGGCTTGGAGAATTTTGAGCATTACTGTGCTAGCGTGTGAGATGAGTGCAATTGTGTGGTAGTTTGAGCATTCTTTGGCATTGCCTTTCTTTGGGGTTGGAATGAAAACTGACCTTTTCCAGTCCTGTGGCCAGTGCTGGGTTTTCCAAATTTGCTGGCATATTAAGTGCAGCACTTTCACAGCATCATCTTTTAGGATTTGAAATAGCTTAACTGTAATTCGATCACCTCCAGTAGCTTTGTTTGAAGTGATGCTTCCTAAGGCCCACTTGACTTCACATTTCCAGGATGTCTGGCTCTAGGTGAGTGATCACACCATCGTGGTTATTTGGGTCATGAAGATCTTTTTTGTACAGTTTTTCTGTGTTTTCTTGCCACCTCTTCTTAATATCTTCTGCTTTTGTTAGGTCCATACCTTTTCTATCCTTCATTGTGCCCATCTTTGCATAAAATGTTCCTTTGGTATCCCTCATTTTCTTGAAGAGATGGTTAGTTTTTCCTATTCTGTTGTTTTCCTCTATTTCTTTGCAGTGATCATTGAGGAAGGCATTCTTATCTCTCCTTGCTATTCTTTGGAACTCTGCATTCAAATGCGTATATCTTTCCTTTGCCTTTAGCTTTATTATAGTAAGTTAGCAAGATGTAGGCAAATACAGTAAATAGGCAGTTTAGGGTAATATACAATTTCCAATCCACTGGTGTTTTATGAGCTACTTTACTGAACCATCAAAACTTGGCTGTCTTTCTTGCTTAGTCCAGGGTACAGTGTAGTGAGATTCAGAAAGATTATTTGATGGTAATACAATACATTATTAGAGAGCTCTTTGTAAGCAAATAAAGATGCTTTATTGGCTGATATAATAGGAAGTATTGTTTGTGTCCCAGTCATTCACAAAGAGAATAGTTCTATATGACCATGGTTTTTTGTCTGTATTGAGGGAATATTATTTTAAGAATCTGGTTTTAAATGCCAGTACTTTATTGCTCTTTTAGGGCTCTGTTCTTATCCATGGTGCTCTTCTTTACCTCAACAAAGGGAAAGATCATGACTGTTTTATGTGGACTGATAAACCTGCCTTTTTAAAAAATTTATTTTTAATTGGAGGATAACTGCTTTAGAGTGTTGTGTTGGAAGCCTGCCTTTTTTAAGAAAAAAAAAAGTGATTATTATCAAGAATTTGACTTAATATAAAATTTTATTTCTCATCTGTTTTTTGGATTCTTGCAAGAATCAATGTTGCATGATTAATGGTATTTGTTGTCCACTTAAGTACTGGTATCTGTTGTCCCCTCATAGCAATTAAGTTGATCATCCTAGATTGTGGGTGGGGAGGTTAACTGCCAAACATTCTTGCAAGAACCTCCTAGTAAAACAAAAATTTTATAAACAGCATGCCCGAAGAGGCTGAACTTAGGATAGTGTTTGTTGTATAACTTTGGCAATTGAAAAATTTTTTAAGTTGGAAATATTACTGTGCCCATGTTTATGGCATTTTATCTGTAAATGACCCTTAGATAATTTTTTTTTTCTAGTGTCCTTGCATTGTCTCAATATTCTGCAGGAGCTCTTTGTTTGGACCCTAAGAGCAATAAGAGCTTAGAACACCTACTGATAAAATGATACAATACAGAAGTAGAATTGACTTTTTTTTTATGTGTATATGCTGCTGGTGGTATATATTAAAGAGAAATTTAGTAATTGTATATACTAGGAAAGTTTATTACACACTAATACATACTTAGCTCACTTTTTGTATAGGTACTAGAACTACTTCTGTCTTGTGTTGAGACATTGAACACTTTAGTAGTTATTAGGTACTTGTAGAAAATGTACTTTCTTCAGATCTACAAGTATGAAAACTTTCCCTTCTCTCCTGACAAGACTCTCCACCCCCAAAATGAAGAGTGGGGTGCTAAAGGGGAAGGTGGTGATTAGATAATCAGCATTAACTACATATGTCCTTTTCCTAAAATAGGTTTCTCTTTAGCATTTCTGAAATGTGAGGACCAAGAATGGTGTTAACTCATTAACAGATTACTAGACTTTGAGCAGTTTTAGAGAAATCAAAATCAAATGAGAGCTTGGATCTTGTAATTCTGTTAAATCAGCAAATGCTTATTTAAAGCTGCAAGATTTTTAAATATGCAAGATACACTTTGAGCCCAGTGGGAGATTCAGAGAATTGTAGACAAATTTCTGAGTTTCAGGAACATAAGAGACTATACATAGTTTATCTTTTATTAAAAAAAATTATGGTGTGTAGTTGATTTACAGAGTTTCGTTACTTTCTGCTGTACTGAATGCATTTACATGTATCCACTCTTTTTTAAGATTCTGTCCCCATATAGGTCATTGCACAGTATTGAGTAGCATTCCTTGTGCCATTCAGTAAATTCTCATTAGTTATCCATTTTATATATAGTAGTGTATATGTCAGTACCAATCTCCCCATTTTTTCCTCCCCTACAAAATGTAAAATCTCATGATTCTCCTTCCTGATTTAATTTTTTTGGAGTTTTTTCTTCCTATTAAACTTTTGCTTTGAAAGTTCCCGAAAGTTGGGACAAGGAAGTAAGAAAGATGGTTGCCTGAATTCTCCAGGATAGGGGAGAGTTATTGACTAGTTTCTGTTAGTGAGTAATTCCACTGTAACTATTATTACTAGTGGCCTACAGTAGAAGTTTTTAGATTCCTTACTTCTTTGTTACTTGGTTGAGTCAATACAAGGATGCATTTGCTTAGCCAGAATGCAAAATTTACAGGCTCGAATGGTCTTGGCAAGCTTTGTGGGGCAGGAGGAAGAACAGGCATTTGGGAGAGAAGGCAGCAGAGGGAATCTCAGAAAGGAAAGGCATGGGCAGAGTCCCAGAGGACAAACAAAATTTGTGGTGGACGCAGTTTTCACGTAGACCTAATCAGTGGGTCCTACCTTATGTGCTTTCAAGATTGCCACAGTTTTTCTTTTGTAATTACCATTCCTTTTATTTTTAGGCATGATATTTAATGTGTTTTAAAGTTTAACATTAAAGGAGGAGTTACTTTGTTTGAGAAAATGTCAAAGGCTGAAGAATCTTGATCTAAATAATGATTTCTAAGGAAGATTTCTAATGAAATCCCCCGTAGTTGTTCTTGGTTCAGAGAAGAGTCCTCAGCACTAGAAAGAGAAATAGGGGAGCTCCAGAGAGGCTCCCTGGTCAGAACCATTTGATCTTCACAACAGAATGAAAAATATTTTAACTATAAGTGCAGATGTTCATTATTATAGATAGGGTAAAGTCATCACTACTGTCAGAGGAAAAGTTCTTGGCTATTTAACGTGATGGTGGAGAAATCTTAAGATGAGTAGAACAGTTGAAAACCATTTGAGGAAGATTTTCTCCTGCCCCCGTTCTCTGGAATGTTTAGGGCTATATTCTTAGTTTCTGATACCTTAAAAGTTTTCAAGTGTTCCGTTGTTAAGAACCATTATTTAGTTAAAAAAAAAAAAAGACATTTAGATGATCACATCAGAATTTTAGAATTACCTATAGTTCTGTAACCCTAAAAACTTATTTTCATTTTTGCATGTTATCTTTTAATCTTTACATGTATGCATACTTTCTTAGCAGTGATACTTTAAAAACTGAAGAAAGAATACCAAGATCTAGAGAATTTTGTATGATTCCTTTTTCTTTTTAAGGTACGTGTTGGGTGGTGGAGCATTGTGCATGGAACTACTCACAAAACAGGTGACTATTTTTCTCATGGTACTCAAGTATTTCAACCTCTGTAGAGTGTTTTAATTACGTAAATTAGATTCTAAGTGGACAGAGCTCTTTGTAATAGTACCTACTTTAAAATAATGTTTTTTCTGTGTGTGCTAATAGAGCCTATTTTAATAATGAAAGCTATTTAAACCAGTAAAATGACACTGTTCTTGGTGCTTAATCTATGCTAGGGTGGGCAATAAGTGATGTATGTTGTAATTTGCTCATTTGTTGCACTTAAAACATAGATTTATTTGTTTTGTGAGATTTTGGAAATGGTCCAACTTTACTTTTACTCCTTGACTACAAACTTAACATAAATTTGATACTACTAAGTTGTTACATGCCATTTTCTTAAGCTTTCCTGAGTGAGAATCAGGAATACCACGGTGTTTCAGAGGAGTGTTTTCTTCTTTCTGTAGGGCTGGAGCAGTGCCTATTCAATAGAATCGGTCATCATGCAAATCAATGCCACCTTAGTTAAAGGCAAAGCCAGAGTGCAGTTTGGAGCAAATAAGGTACTTTTATTAAGAATGTCACATTAACTATGAGATACAGTTCCTATTAGGAAGCTTCTACCTGTTCTTTTAGTCTTTGTTATTTCTACTTTAATTAAATATGTCTGGTTTAAAATTTATTATTGGTTTATATATACTAGTGAATAAAAAATTATAGGTAGTTACATGCTTCCTCAAATTGAGATCCCATTGTAATAGTTAATTCCTGGTAAGCATATATGTGCTAGACTCTAATCTAAACTTTTTATTTGTATTAACTTTCCATCCTCTTAATAACCTAGAAGTAGGTACTATTATTGTCCTCATTTTGTAGATGAGGAAACTGAAGCACAGAGAAGTTAGGTGACTCATCTAAGATCACAGGTGGAGAGTGAGGATTGGAACCAGACGTTCTGGCCATTAGTCTCTGCTCTTAACCACCATGTTCTGTTCTTTATTTACTTACTGTATCAGAAATATCTTTCATGTCTAATTATTGTTATCTGTGAACACTTAAGACCAAAATGACTCTGAAGTTAGTATATTTTGCAAAAGTGTGTGATGGAAATCATCCCTACCTGACATTAAAAAAAAAAAAATTCTGTATGTTCCTAAAATTCCTTGTGAATTTTGTATTAAATACCTATCCAAATAGTACTAAATCTAAGTAAGTATTTCTAACTGTATTGCACGTCAAATCATGAGCTCACTGGAATCTTAACTCACAGAGGAAGCAGAAAATTGATTCTCTAAGGGGACTAAAGTGGTCTCATGTTAATTGTATACACAGTTCTCATCAGTAGCAAATGCTAATACTCTTTAGAAGAAAGGATTTCTGAATTAAGACTATAAGATTCTCAGAGATTAAGATCAGTTCAGTTCAATCACTCAGTCATGTCCGACTCTTTGTGTCCCCATGGGCTGCAGCATGCCAGGCTTCCCTGTCCATCACCAACTCCCGGAGCTTACTCAAACTCATGTCCATTGAGTCGGTGATGCCATCCAACCATCTCATCCTCTGTCGTCCCCTTCTCCTGCCTTCATTCTTTCCCAGCATCAGGGTCTTTTCCATTGAGTCAGTTCTTTGCATCAGGTGGCCAAAGTATTGAAGTTTCAGCTTTAGCATCAGTCCTTCCAATGAATATTCAGGACTGATTTCCTTTAGGATGGACTAGTTTGACCTCTTTACAGTCCAAGGGATTCTCAAGAGTCTTCTCCAACACCACAATTCAAAAGCATCAATTCTTAGGTGCTCAGCTTTCTTTATAGTCCACATCCATACATGACTACTGGAAAAACCAGGCCTTGAGTAGACGGACCTTTGTTGGCAAAGTAATGTCTCTGCTTTTTAATATGCTGTTTAGGTTGGTCATAGCTTTTCTTCCAAGGATCAAGTGTCTTTTAATTTCATGGCTGCAGTCATCAGCTGGAGTCATCATCTGCAGTGATTTCAGAGCCCTCAAAAATAAAGTCTGTCCCTGTTTCCATTGTTTCCCCATCTATTTGCCATGAAGTGATGGGACCGGATGCCATGATCTTTGTTTTTTGAATGTTGAGTTTTAAGCCAGCTTTTTCATTTGACAGTGAAAGATGACCAGCACCCATGTAGACAACCTAACATCCAAGAGAACTGGCAGAAACAATGACTAAGAGACACAGAGGCACAAAGACTTGAAGTTTTGGAATTAGCAGATATTAAAATTGTGAGAAAATGAATACTTATGTGTAAAATCTAGTGATCATAGAAAAGAATCTATAGAAATCAAGAATGTTAAAATGAGAAACTGATTAGACATCAGAAGAGAGAATTATTAGAAGAAATAACTCAGAATGTTGCACAGAGGGACCCAGGAATAGATAGTACAGCAGAAGTTAAGAGGTACAGATCAGAATGAGGTCTAAGACATGTCTTATTTGAATCCCAGGAGGAGAGAATAAAATCATATTAAAAAGTGAGAAATAGAAATCAGAAAGTGAAGTTATAAAAGCAAATCCAAATAAATAAATCATAACAAATATAAATGCACAAAAGTTACCAGTTAGTTTATTAAGTGGTCTTTAAGAAGTGTATTTATTTTTATTAAAATTTTTTGAAATATAGTTGATTTATAGTGTTAATTTTTTTCTGTATAGCAAAGTGACTCAGTTATACATTTATGAATAATTTATCACAAGAAGTATATTTAACACGTGAGGATACAAAGAGATGGAACTTTTTTAAAGGAAGAAGATAATATAGACAGACCAGTATAGGCATACCTTGGGGATATTATGGGTTCAGTTCCAGACTACTTCAGTAAAGCCAGTATCACAATAAAGCAAACCACATGAACTTTTTGGTTTCCTGGTATGTGTAACAGTTACACTGTACTGCAGGCTCCTAAGTGTGCAATAGCATTATGTCTGAAAAACAATGTACATGCTTAATTAAAAAATATTACTAAAAAATGCTAACCATCATGTGAGCCTTCAGCTAGTTGTAGTGGTTAACACCAAAAATCAGTGATCCCAGATCGTTGTGACAAACACAGTAATGAAAAAGTTTGAAGTATTTCAAATTACCAAAATGTGACACAGACACACAAAGCTGGCCAGTATTCTTGGGGGAAAATGGAGCCAATAGACTTGCTTGGTGCAGGGCTGTCACAGATCTTCAAACTGTTAAAAACAGCAACAAAAAATGTAGTATCTGCTAGGTGCAGTAAAATGAGGTTTGCCTGTATACACTGACAAAAAGGTGATTTAGCTGTAGTGTAAACAGTGTGATTTTGGAACAAAGCATTAGTGACTACTTAATGATAAAAGTCTCATTTAACCAGGAGGATATAATTTTTTACTCTTAGGTCATGCCATCATTTCTTGATAAAAGCAGGGGACAGTGACTAATAACAATAGGCTGTACATTAATTTTCTTATACAATCTTAAGGATATACAGGGATACTAATAAGAGTAGTTTATTTGAATGGAAGAAGGAAGGTGGGTAAGGGGAGGAACTGGGTGGTTTCAGGACAGGTAGGAATGAAAGTTGTCATTTGGAATGTGTTTATACACATTCTTATGCTACGAATTTATTAAAAAATTTTGTGACATAACAAAATTTAGATGTGAACCACTATGGAGAATGCTTATGATAATTCTCCACAATGGAGAATTGGAAGTTAAGATGTAGGCAAGTTGTACTTACGGGGATAAAATTAATAAAATCAATCCTAAACTTGGTCACTTAGAAGACATTCAAATCTGTAGAGGTTAACAAAAGACTCCTTTAGTAGTGTGCCTTGGTATCACTTATGGGCATTCTTCAGGTGTTTAACTCAAAATGTTATCCATACGTGTAGTCCTTAAAGCCTAATATATTTCTTTACTTGAAGGCAGTATTTTGTAGTTTCTTTTTTTGATGGAAGTTATAAGGAAGAGTTTTCTGTCAGTGGACATTTATGATTTTATATTTCTAGATACAAATGTTTTTTTTCTTTTTTGAAGTAATAGTTGATTTATAATGTGTTAATTTCTGCTCTACAGCAGTGATTGTTATACATACATATATATATATACACACACACACATATACACATATATATGTACATGTACATTCTCCTTGCATCCAAACAACATCCTTTAACTTTATTCATAAAGCCTTGTACTTGTGCAGTGGCAGGAGGACTTAGAAAATAAACTGTGAATTGAGTAGGTCTTTATTAGAAAACAGTTTTGATTTTGTTATCCTTCTAAAATAGTTTGGAATAATGAAATTGGGAAATTTATTTTTGAAATAGAAAAACTTGGTTTCCTGTGTTCTTTTAAGTACAGTGGTGATGCAAATAATCCATCAATTGTTTGTAATGATTTTCATCTACTTATAGTTTTGATATAGAATGTTTAATTCTCTTTCAGAATCAATATAATCTAGCAAGAGCCCAGCAATCCTATAATTCCATTGTACAGATACATGAGAAAAATGGTATGTTTACTTCAATAAGTGTTTATTGCCATATGTGAAATTTTACATAATGTACTGTTTACTTATTTTGTCTTATTCTTCTGTTTTTGCTTTAATTTCTTACAAAGTATGGTTACCAGAGTGAAAAAATACACATACTGTGCTTCATTCAAAATCTTTGTATCCTAAATACTTGGCCTGGGAATCTCTGAGTCAAAAATTTTTGAGTAGATTAATGAATGAATCACTTTACTCATTTGAAATGCGTGATATTGGGATAGGAACTGAGTTAAAGGCAATTCTAAAGGTGGAGTTCTTGCTGTTAATACTGAGTAAGTGCAGTCAGGATCATGAACCAGTTGCTGAACCATTTTCAGACCACTTAATGCTTTTTGACAATTGTGCAGATTTATTTATTCAAGTAAAAATGTTTTAACTTCAGTCTACACTTAAGAATATTTGAATTGTAAATTTTAAAAAATATCTTTCAAAACTTTATTCGACTTATTTTAAATTTTTCTTGTATTCACAAGACATGTTTGGAGTTTTTGTCTGTAATAGTGAGATGACAGAGAAGTAGACTTGGAATCAAGACCTGTTATCAGGTGCCATTTGTGTCACTCACTAGCTCTGTGGCCCTGCACAAGTCCCATTACCTCTCAGCCTTAGTTTTCTCATCTCTAAAATTGGTATGATGTCTGTCTTGCCAAAGGTGAGGAAGGAAATAAGTTGTGTGTGTGTGTAGCACTTAATAACCAAGTGTGCTGATATTCATGGTAGCTGGGGTAGTGGAATGGATGCATTTTTGTGCAGAGGAGGTTAATTGATAGGAAGTAGTTTTTCTTTAAGAGTATCTCCAGTAAACTGTTCTTTATTTAGTTAGAATGTGATAGCTTGTGACTTAGTATTTGTGTTTTGTGTGTGCTCACTTTCATTTAAGTGAAAGAGCAAACTTGTCACTTTTGCAGTGACTGCTTACTTTTGAAAGAATAGTATTTAAAACAGTTTTCAAGCTTCTGAAGAGGGAAATGATAAAATTTGAGGACAAAGCTGGGTTTTCATAATAATATTCATCTCTAGCACGCTAAATTAACAGACCCGAAGATGCCTATATGCTCGTTTATTAAGCACGTGGACACTCCACAAATCTTGGTGTATTTGTACTGTTGGAAGGTCAGCTTTGTACCAAGTAATACTTTGTCTCAGTCTAATTTGCCTTTTTAGAGAGAGCTTATCTTTTTGTTGAGCATAGAAACATGTTTTTCTTATCTCTTATTTTTTGTTAAATTAGACATTATAGTCAGCATTCAAAAATGCTTATGGAAAGCACTGTATTTGAGAAAGTGTGGGTGTGTATATAATTAGCTATGATGAAAGAGCAAATAGATTCAGATTCAGGAGATGGATTCTAGTTAACCTGCTGGTGCTAAATCTGATCTTGGGCTTAATCACTTAATCAGGGCACCTGCTGAGATGACACCCTTACTGGTGAAATGGCATCATTGCACTGATGACGGTCCCAGTTCCTCATGCTCTAAAATACCAGGATTTCATTTGGGGGGACAGCTATTTTTAGTTCAGTTTCCTATATAAAACTTAGCTTGTTGTCTAATATTCCACACTTTTCTCTTTAGGTAGAAATGCCATCAATACAGAGATCTTACCTTGAAAATTCAAGTGCAGTTTATTCATAGAAAATAACTATATTGTGAATATATCAGAATGTTGTGTTACCAACCCAAGTATAAGCTTAATTTTTACAAATAGGTTTAAATAAGGAAATCATGGGTAGAGAAAATTATGGGTAGAGAAAGTATCTAACCTTGCTAAAATGCCACTTCTCCTAGTTGGTTTAAGAATTAAAATGTTAACTTGTTTTACCCATTCTTTTTCAGGCTGGTACACCCCTCCAAAGGAGGATGGCTAAATGTGTTGACGTTTGTATGCTTGGACCAGTGTTGCTTTAAAGAAAATCTCTCCAACATGCAGACACAAGCTTTGAGTGCCCCCATAACAGCAGTACCGAAGATGTTAGCTAATAGATATTTTAGTGGGTAATCTGTCAGCTGATCCAGTATAAGTCACAGCCTTTCCATTTTTCTCATTTTAGGTATCTTGGACTGAGCAGTGGGGCCTTTACTGTATTTTTTCTGATAAATACACATACTGGCCACTCCTTATCATCTCTTTCTTGAAAGGTGAAATGTCTTAAGCAGACAAGTCAGCATCAGGTTACTGAAGTTAGGAATTGAGGGCCAATTTCCCATTTTTGAGCTCATGTGTTATGAGGATTTGCAATATATTGTTCCATTTAAAGCCAATAAAGTTTAATCAATGTTTAATATTGGTTTAGAAAATTTAAGGTGTTCTGAATCACAGTAGCTTTTTCAGGTTAAAACTATTTTATGATATTGCCAAAATAATGACAGGAAATGTACTTGTTAAACTGTTAAACTTTTTTTTTTTAAATGGCTATGAAGATCTAAACTATCTCCCGAAGATTTGCTCTTAATTGAGTTGAACTTTTTAGGCAGAGTAAAGCAAGGCTGTGTCAATTCAGCTTTTATGTAGTAATTTCCACTGGGGCATCAGAGTCTTGCTGAGCTGAATCTGCTTCTTGTTGGTTCAATATTTCTTATGAAGAAGAGCTTGAAGTTATAGAGCTTGAATTATTTAAAATACTAAGTCATTCTACGTTTCCATTTTATTAACGGGATGTTGCAATCAGTTGTAAACTAATAAACTTATAAAGTGATTGGCACAATAATAAACTTATAAAGTGATTGGCACAAAGACTCCTTGAACAAAACTGCACAGTTAAGTACAAAAAGTGTCTAATTTGGAGACTTAAATTTTCTATAGTCATAATAATGGCTTTTACATTGAAAGACTAATAGGAATTCTACATATATTAATTCTTTTATAAAATCTAGACTCAAATCTGTGTACTCTCCATTTTATTGCCTTACCTGAATTAGTCCTATTGGGTTGGTAATAGATTTTTTTTTTTTAATATACCCAAATTTGATTTAAAAGTAAACTCTAGTTATTAAGCACTTTTAAAAAGAAACCCAGAAGCACATTTTTTTCTGCACAAACCAGTTACAAAGTTCAAAAGTGTTTCTTATGCTTTAAGACTCAGTTTTTAACTTTGTAAACCACATCTGAAAGACCTGGCACTTCTGCATTATTGTGTTTAATTTCTTTCTCTTTTTTTTTTTCCCTCCTTTTTTTTTTTTTCCTGTTTTTGGTTAAGAGGATAGTAGAAGATTTTCTAGCATTCTTGTTCACTTGGTTAATTTGTATACAATTCCAATTGCCAGTTGCTCAGATAACAAGTGACAAGGCAGAATTCTTTAAAGCATTAAAGTTCCTTAAACCTAAGGCTAAATCTTGAATACATTATTGAATTCTTTAATATCCTGATGGCTAGCAGATTGACAGCTGCACATTTGGCATGCTTTGGTTTTTGGTTTTGGGGGGTTTTTTGGACTTTATTTTTCATTGCAGATTTATTTGGCAATGTACAGTAAATTTTGTAAACTTGCATCAAGTTTATGAATAAAGAATCATTTAAAATATAACTCTTTCGCTTTCCTTTTGTAACAGATACTCTTTGTTTTGATTTTCTATAGGCTCTGTTGGGTTTCTGGAATAGGATCATATATGGTGGGATGGGGTGAGGAGAGATTTGAGGCAGATTGATTTCACAAGAGAAAGCTGGAGAACCCAGAATTGGTGTGTATAGACTTGGCATACTCAGGGTTTCCTCAACCTCTTCCCTTGCCCACACTGATTCTTTAATATAAATTTAAGTGCTACTTTCTTCATCGCTTTCCGAATTCCCCAAGTTACAGTAATCTGTTTCCTGTTCAGTGTCCCCATAGCCTTTTTACACAGTTGTCAATTTCTCACATACAAGAAGTACAGAGGTAGGAAAACTCGAGGCATAGTACCTCTGCTTCTTTGAGATCTTTCTGTGTTGGTTTCATCTTTGGATAGACTTGAATGTGCAGCCACCTTAATTCATCCAGAGGTAGATAATGGCCCTGTGGTCTAGTGTCTCCTTAGGAAGTGAGAAAGTCTTTAGAGGTCCCCCTACCCCCCTCCCAGAAAAACACAACTTTTTCTTGGCCTAGAACTAGAGTATTTGTCTACCCCTAAATTAATGGCTGATCAAAAGAATGAAACTATCATGATTAGTTTGGACTAGTGGTTTTCAAGGTATAATTTGTTGGAGAACTCTGGAGACTCCTGAGACCCTTTTAGGAGGTTTTTAACATCAAAGCAACACTAAACCATTATTTAGTATTTTCACTCTCATTCTCTCACAAGTGTACAGTGGAGTTTTCCAGAGGCTACATGATGTGACAGACATGATATTGAACAGACTGAATTCAGAAGCAGATCCAGCTGTCTTCTAAGCCAGAAGTTAGAGGTTTATAAGCTGTAAAGATGCTACTCTATGCAATATTGGGGAGTGGGGTGGAGATCTGGTAAGGTTATTTTTTCATAAGTTACTCTGTGTGATGAACTATTTTAAGTGAATTAGTATGATAAATATAGTTACAACCCAGGTAAAGAGGTTCTTTGGCCTTGTCAGTATTTAAGAATGTGAAGCAGTCCTGAAGTCAAAATGTTTGAGACCTGCTTTTTTTAGACTTAACCACATTTACCAGTCAAGAGCTGGGCACCAGATCAGGGCCTTGTTAGCAAGGAAGCTACAGGAGGAGTGGGTGTTCCCTGGGGAGACAGCAGTATCTGCTGTGCTTACATTTTTCTGTCTGTGGTTCTCAACTTGTATCAGGGGTAAGTTTAAATCACAGTAAAGCTAAAATTCCAAATGCTGGGCCCCAGCCCACATAGTAAGCCTGGGGTGGGGACCGAGAAGGCGCCAAGCTGAGTATTTCCCAGGTGACTCTGATGCTATAGGCAGGGAACTAGTGCTGTTTGGGGCGTGCTTTCACAGCAGTGGTAGATACTCTGTAAGCCGATTTAAAGGTTCAGAACTTGAGGGCTACACGATGTTGAATAAAGGTATTGATTTTCACACTTTTAAAAGCATATACTATCCGCTCAAAAATCAGACTCATGCTCTTGTTAACTGATATTGGGACTGTAAAGACCGATACAACACTATCTGACTCCAAGAATTCATGAAATACGTGAATTCATGAAATTCACGAATACTTGGAAATACGGCTACAAGTGCAGTGAGCTGCACAGAATGAGGTAGGTCTGGTTTGACTGCGTGATGCCTCCGGGAAAGTCCCAGGAGAATTACAGGACGCGTGACTGTGTGCGCAATGCTTAGCCGCTCAGCCCTGTCCGACTCTGCTACCCCATGGCCTATTAAGTCTACCAAGCTCCCCTTCCAAACACCTGCCTACCACCCAGGGCCAGCGCCGGAAACGTATTAGCCTGCAGTCACGTGGACTTCCCCGCAGCGGTTCCGCCTCCCCGTATCGGCCGGAAGTGGAGCGCGCGCCTGCTCAGTGAGCCGAGGGCCCTGTCTAAGCCGCTCCCTCCGAGCCGCCGTACTGTTTCCCGGTGGGGTTGGTGAGGCATGGAGCGGGTGGGCGGCGGTGGCGATTGCTGCGGCTCCTCCTCCGCAGATCCGCGGAGCACCTTCGTGCTGAGTAACCTAGCGGAGGTGGTGGAGCGTGTCTTCACCTTCCTGCCCGCTAAGGCGTTGCTGCGGGTGGCCCGGTGAGGGCAGAGGAGGCGGGAAGCTGACCTCGGGACTTGCCTCGGGCTTGCTGGGCTGGAGGGTGGGCGGATACCGTCGGGACCCAGGGCTGACCCCGGCTCCGGAACCCCTGTCCCCTGGTGGCGCTCCCATACCCCAGCACTACCTGCTGTAAGTGCTCCCGGGGACCCTTCCCAGAGGAGCCAGTTTCCCCCTAAGGTTTTCTCCGCCCCCAGCTCTGCCTCCGAACCGGTGCCAGACGTCTCGCCGTCCCAGGGACTCGGGATCCCTTAGCAGTCTCCTGCTGTTGAGGTTATGTGTGGTGGGGAGCGGAGGGAGGTCTGTACAGAGCTGCCGGAGAAAGAGAAGTGAACGTCCGTTTACAGTCCTTTGTGCATGTGCGTCCCCAGCGTGTGCCGCTTATGGAGGGAGTGTGTGCGCAGAGTGTTGCGGACCCATCGGAATGTGACCTGGATCTCCGCGCTCTCGGCGGATCCCTGCCATCTGGCGCAGCATTGCCTGGTCCGCGTGGTAGCCGAAGAGCTTGAGGCAAGTAAGGGGTGTCGCGTACAGTCCTTTGCAAGATTGGTGGATCAGTCGTTGAGAACTAAATATTTTAAAACAATTCGTATATGGCTTGACTTCCCTGGTGGCTCAGACGGTAAGTAGACCGCCTGCAATGCGGGAGACCTGGGTTCGATGCCTGGGTTGGGAAGATCCCTTCGAGGAGGAAATGGCAGCTGTCCACTACACTTCTTGCCTGGAGAATCCCATGCATAGACTGGCGGGCTACAGTCTACGGGGTCGCAAGAGTCGGACACGACTGAAGCGACTTAGCTTGCACGCATGCATTGTAAGGATGTGCCATGGTTTCTTTGACAATTCTTCACATATTGGGCGTTTTCAGTTCAGTTCTGTTGCTCAGTCATGCCCGACTTTTTGCGACGCCGTGGACTGCAGCACTCCAGGCCTCCCTGTCCATCCACCAGCTCCCGGAGCTTGCTCAAACTCATGTCCTTTGAGTCGGCGATGCCAACCAACCATCTCATCCTCTGTCACCCCCTTTTCCTCCCGCCTTCAATGTTTCCCAGCATCAGGGTCTTTTACAGTGACTCAGTTCTTGGCATCAGGTGGCCAAAAGTTTCAGCTTCAGCATCAGTCCTTCCAATGAATATTCAGGACTCATTTCCTTCAGGATTGACTGGTTTGATCTTGGAGTCCAAGGGATTCTCAAGAGTCTTCTCCAACACCACAGTTCAAAAGCATCAATTCTTACGCTCTCAGCTTCCTTTATAGTCCAACTCTTACATCCATCATGACCACTGGAAAAACCATAGCTTTCACTAGACAGACCTTTGTTGCAATTTTGCAACCTTTGTTGCAGAGTAATGTCTTTGCTTTTTAATATGCTGTCTAGGTTGGTCATAGCTTTTCTTCCAAGGAGCAAGTGTCTTTTAATTTCATGGCTGCAGTCACCATCTGCAGTGATTTTGGAGTCCAAAAAAATGAAGTCTGTCACTGTTTCCATTGTTTCCCCATCTGTTTGCCATGAAGTGATGGGACCAGGTGCCATGATCTTGGTTTTCTGAGTGTTGAGTTTTAAACCAACTTTTTCACTCTCCTCTTTCAGTTTCATCAAGAGGCTCTTTAATTCTTCTTCACTTTCTGCCATAAGTGTGGTGTCATCTGCATATCTGAGGTTATTGATATTTCTCCCGTCAATCTTGATTCCAGCTTGTGCATCATCCAGCCAAGCATTTCTCATGATATATTCGGCATGTAAGTTAAATAAGCAGGGTAACAATATAGCAGCCTTGATGTACTCCTTTCCCAATTTGGAACCAGTCAGTTGTTCCATGTCTGGTCTAACTGTTGCTTCCTAACCTGCATACAGATTTCTCAGGAGGCAGGTCAGGTGGTCTGGTATTCCTATCTCTTTAAGTATTTTCCACAGTTTGTTGTGATCAACACAGTCAAAGGCTTTGGCATAATCAATAAAGCAGGAGTAGATGTTTTTCTGGAACTCTCTTGCTTTTTCGATGATCCAGTGGATGTTGGCAATTTGATCTCTGGTTCCTCTGCCTTTTCTAAATTTAGCTTGAACATCTGGAAGTTCATAGTTCACATACTGTTGAAGCCTGGCTTGGAGAATTTTGAGCATTACTTTACTCGTGTTTGAGATGAGTGCAATTGTGCAGTAGTTTGAGCATTCTTTGGTATTGCCTTTCTTTGGGATTGGAATGAAAACTGACCTTTTCCAGTCCTGTGGCCAGTGCTGGGTTTTCCAAATTTGCTGGCATATTGAGTGCAGCACTTTCACAGCATCATCTTTTAGGATTGGGCATTTTATGTATCCAGATTTTCACTATTATGAAAATGCTATTTAGAACCTTCCTATTACCTGCTTCCCTTGTCACATGGTTTTGCAGGGATGGGTTCTGAAGGGTCTCTATTGCTTATTGTCACATGAAAATGCCAATAGCTAATACTTAAACCCAAATATTTCGACACCCAGTCCTATTTAAAATTATACGTTTAATATAAGTTATTAAAAGCAAAAATGGAAAATAGAAAGGAAATAAGCCAAAATGCTAGCAAAAGTTTCTTTGGGGGGTAGAAGTGTGTGTGTGTGTGTGTGTGTGTGTGTGTGTGTGTGTGTGGTGGTGGTATTTATAAAAACTATTCTATTTTTCTTTTCTTCAAATTTTTACCAGTGCAGGTATTGTTTCTATTTAACTTTAAAAGTTTGTGATTTGTAATGGCTGTTAAAGCTAGGCAGACTTAGGTGTGAACCCAGCTTTGGCACATATACATGTTTATATATATTTTTATATATATATATATATATATATATATAATAGCTGTGTGACTTTGAAAATGTTACATAAACTCTCTGAGCCTGTAAAGTGAAAACAAAATGATACTATTTACACTCTTACAGAATTGTTGTAAGAATTAAATAATGAAAAGTTAACACATGTAGGTTTACCTTCAGTACCAGGAATATAATATTTTTAATAATTGAAATTATTATTCTTTATTAATATCATTACTAAAACTCATCTACTAATACCCTTAAAGATATTTATACATTGTAGAATACTAGTGTGGAGACAAAAATGTAATCTTATCTAAATCATTCATGCTGAGGTTTTTTTGTGTTTGCCAAATTATCTAGTAGACAAGATACCTTACAGCCATAAAGAAAGTTGATTTAGCTTTTTAACTATAAATATTTTAAAATCCACTAAAATTTTTATAAAACATCTTGTCATTTGGAATGTTTTTAAATGAGGTTCTAGTTGTCTTCTGTTGTGCTTTGGGAACATTTCATGTTGAGGATTGCCATTGTCACTTCTTTAGTGAGACTTGGGAATGAAAATTGAGCAGTTGCTTCTCAGGGTGTACCAGAATCGGGTCTAGACTTCCAAACTTTAAGAATAAGAAATGCAGGGCCTAAGCACCAAGGGTTATTCTGCTGATTTATGGCAGAGTCACACCTGAATCTCACACCTCTTAAGTTCTCTCCCCTGTACTCACTACAGTGGGCATCACAAACTCAGATGACGCCAGAGTTAGTCAGCTAACTCAGGTGGGTTGGGCGACTCGGTGTAACATCCTGGAGAGTGGTAGGGCTGAGGCAGACCAAATAGTGCTTGCTTCTCCTTGGCCTCCGTCAGGGAGAATGGCATCTAATAAGTATTGCCAGAGTGTCTGTTTTTCAAAAGAAATCTACATTTTATGTAAATATTCTGTGGGAGTTTTAAATGTTGGCAACTAAAATACATTTGTATTTGTGTGTCTGGTTTTGTTCATGAAATTATTTAAGTTTTAAGTATAATTGATTTACACTAAGTTAGTTTCAGATGCACAATATAGTGATACAGTATTTCTGTATACTACAAAATGATCATTATATGTTTAGCTATCACCTGTCACCATACAAAATTATTATAATTCCGGTCATCTTCCCCATACTATACATTTCATCTCCAGGACTCATTTATTTTGTATCAGGGAGGTTGTACCTCTTAATCTCCCTTACCTGTTTTACTCATCCCCCAACTTCTCTCTCCAGTGACAACCGCCTGTTTATTCTCTGTAACTATGACTGTTTCTGATTTGTTGTTTATTCATTTGTTTTGTTTTTTAGATTCCACACATAAGTGAAATCATATATTTGCCTTTCTCTGTCTGACTTATTTTACTTAGCCTTATGCCCTCTTGGTCCATCCATGTTGTCACAAACAGCAAGATTACACATATATATATATATATTTTTAATGACTAAATAATATTCCATCATGTAAGTAATGTTGTTTGTTGTTGTTCAGTCACTAACATGTGTCTGACTCTTTGTGACCCCGTTGACTACTGCACACCAGGCTCCCCTGCCCTTCACTGTCTCCTGGTGTTTGCTCAGATGCATGTCCATTGAGTCAGTGATGCTGTCTAACCAACTCATCCTCTGCTGCTTCCTTCTTTTGCCTTCAGTCTTTCCCAGCATCAGGATCTTTTCTGGTGAATAGGCTCTGCACATCAGGTGACCAAAGTGTTGTAGATTCAGCTTCAGCATCAGTCCTTCCAGTGAATCTTCAGGGTTAATTTCCTTTAGGATTGATTGGTTTGATCTCTGCAGTGCAAGGAACTTGGACTTCTCCAGCACCACAATTCGAAACCATCAATTTTTCTGCACTCAGCCTTCCTTATGGTCCAGTCCTCACATCCATACATGACTGCCCGAAAAACCATAGCTGTGACTATACAGATCTTTGTTGGCAAAGTGATATCTCTGCTTTTTAATATGCTGTCTAGGTATAAGTGTACCACATTTTTATCCATTCATCTGTTTGTGAGCACTTAGGTTGCTTCCATATCTTGGCTATTGTAAATAATGCTGCAGTGCATGTATCTTATCAAATTAGTATTTTTTTTTTTTCCCCTTCAGAAAAATACCTGGAGGTGGAATTGCTGGTCATATCATAGTTCTGATTTTAGCCTCTAAAATTTGTATGGAAACACAAAAGACCCTGAATAGCCAAAACAACCTTAAGAAAAAAGAGCAAGGGTGGAGGTATCATGTTCCATGATTTCAAACTATATTACAGTAATCAAAATAAATTTTAGGGTTATTTGTTGTGGTTTTGTGAAAATGCCATTGATACTTCAGTAGGGATTGCATTGAACGTGTAGATTACATTGGGGTACATGGTTATTTTCACAATATTCTTCCAGGTGATGGCCACAGTATATTGTTCCATTTGTGTCACCTTCAGTTTCTTTCATCAGTGTCTTAAGATTTCCTGAGTGTAGATCCTTTATCAATTGGTTATTTTATTCCTAGGTTTTTTGTTTTTTTTTTAATGTAGATGGGATTATTTTCTTTCTTTCTCTTTCTGATAGTTCATTGTCAGTGTATAGAAACAACAAATTTCTATATATTAATTTTGGATCCTGCAACTTTACTAAATTCATTTAATAACTGTAATAGTTTTTTGGTAGTGTCTTTAGGGTTTTCTATATGAAGTATTGTGTTATCTGCAAACAAG